AAAGGGAAAGAACCAGAAGGTGGAAGCAACCCAACCCAAGTGTCCCTCATTCAGTGCACGGATAGACAAGACGTGGTCCACACACGTGACGGAATATCATTCAGCTTTAAAAAGAAGGAAATGCGGACCCATGCCGCGGCACAAATGAAGCTCAAGGATAACACAATGAGTGGGACAAGTCAGTCATGAGAGGTCAAATTCTGCGGGCAGCCACCTTTCTGAGGTACCTAGCATAGTCAGCCTCACAGAGGAGGGGAAAATGGACGATGTAGGGCTGAGGGGTAGGGGGTGCAGAGTTATTGTTGAATGGTGACAGACTTCCAGCTTTACAAGATGAAGAGCAATGGACGGTGGTGATGGTTGTACAACATGGTGAGTGTGCTTAATACCACTGAACTCAGATTGGTTCAGCTAGTAAATTTTACCTTATATGTATTTTAACACAGTGAAGATGGGGGAGGGAAGGTAAGGACAACCTGCCACACACAACGGGGCTCCCCCGTCCCTAACAGAGCCCCCTTCCCCGTCTGGTCTTGCCTTCTCCCCCTACCCACCCAGCAGTGTGCTGCACTTACTCCAGCCCCCAGGCAACTCCCTTCTTGGAAGTGAAGCGACCCTGCCCAGCTCATTTCCACAGCCCACACTTCCTCCTCTGCTCCCATCTTCCAGGGAGACAGAACTCAGGTGCCTCAGAGCCACAGTCCCCAGGTACAGGCATGTGGAGGTCACCTGGCTGGATGGGTCAGTCTCTCATGTTGCCAAAAGCACAGAAGCCCTTCTGGGATCCATCATGAAGCAGCAAACTCCATTGAACTCGCTCTTAAAAGGCAGCTGGAGTAATTAGCAAACGATTTACTCCTATTAAGCTTTGCTATTATTAGTCCCGCTTTGTATCAAAGGAAATTTTCTCCTCTGTTCCTAGCTGACACCAAGTTAACAGAAGAGCTCTGGAAAAACTCTTGCTTTTGAGGTCTCTTAAAAATAGGGAAAAAGCACAGTAAGTAAAAAATCTAAAATGAGGCTACATCCCCACCCTGGCATCCCTGTATCACCTTCACAAGGACAAGGAAGGTTTCCCTCAGAGAACACTGATTTGGAGCACCAGAAAGAGTTCTCACCCAGGATTCCCTAGCATACAGCAGCCAGACACCTAGGGACAAACCTGGGTGACTCGCCAGGGACCTTGGGCACTTCACTTTTCTGAGCCCCCTTTTCTTTGTCTTGAACAAGGGGAGACTCACAGAACCCACATCCTCCTTGCAGGGCTACTCTGATGGTTAAATGATCCAAGGCCTGAAGAGAGTTCTGGAGCCCCTGGGGTTTAAGCAGGGGCATGGCATGATCCATCTGCATTTTAGGGGGATCTTTGGGGTCCTGGGACAGACTGAGTCCTCCTGCCCCCTCCCAACATGGGGAGAAGGATTTGGCATGCAAGAAGGATAATAAAACTCAGCCCAAAGTCAGTGCAGATGGGCCTATGAGCCTCAAAGCCTGGACCTTTTCCATACTGCCACCTCAAGGGCCCTGGGAGCAGGGATCGACCCTGGAAAGAAACCACTGGAGACTTCTCCTGCGGGCTCAAGGAGAAATTGGACCAAGAGCCATCTGCCTGAGCAAGGCAGAGACCCAGGCCAAGGCCACACCCAGCTGAAGGCTGAGTGGCATTGAGAGCCAGCCTGCACCTGTTTGCCCGGCCACAGAAGGGCCAGTTTCTAATTCTCACAACCGTGTTGCCTGCCAGCCAAGCCGTGCACTCAATAGGCAGCATTCACCTGGACACTTTTCCGCATTCCCACAGAGGCACAGGACAGGCTACAGGAAGCTCCCTTCGCAAAGAGGAGGAAATGCATTGTGGTTTCTCAGAAACTACTTGGTTACATACATTCCTGCCTCCTTCGGCCAAAAAAAGGAAGATTGTCTCTCTGGGAATGTGGAGAAGGTCACAAAGGGCAAATGATCAAAACTTTTCCATCGGGTGGGGATTATTTCAGGTCCAGGAGAGAAGGATGGAGCTGACGGGGATGAGGTGCTCACCTGACAGGCGATCCGTGATGTCCAGCACCGCACGGCCGCTCAGGAAGCGCACACGCCCGGCAAAGGCTTGGAGGAGGCCGAGGGCGTCTGCAAGAGATGGAGGTGTCAGTGGCTGTGAAGCGCTGGGCCAATTCCCGTGCCAGGTGCCCACGCGCCTGCATAAGGAAGAAGCCCTTTGGGGCTGATTTAATTTCTCCGGGTCATAGTGGGGCCACTTGGAAGAGTGAATGGACACAGTGTTTGAGGAACAGTGACCAGCTGGCTTCCAAGCAGGCTGCATTTATTTCCATGGGTCTGGTTCATGTTGTCTGTGATTCTCGAAGTTGCCGTGGGGCTTGGGGCAAAAAAGCATAGAAGAATGATAAACAGAGATGGGTAGATGCATATGAGGGTATATAAATTTATCTATAGTTTTAGAGGAGACTGAACCACTCAACCATCATCACACAAAAGTCGACACAAGAGTTGGGGTTAGAACCAGGCATCATGGCCCATGTTCTCTGCCCTCTGGGAGGCTGAGGCAGGAAGATGACAAGTTCAAGCCCAGCCTGGGTAACTTAGCAACTTAGTGAAATAATGTCTCAAAATAAAAAGGGTTGGGGATAGAACTCCGTGAAAAGATTCTAGTTCAGGGATTGCCAGTACCAAAAAAGAAAAGAAAAAAGAATTGGGGTTAGAATTAGAATTCAAAAGTTATTGCTCTCCTCGAACCCTGAGCTTGTGGTCCAACCAACAGGGTGCACGCATGACAGGCACCCGTTCATTTCCAACTAACCACCTTAGGTAAAGGGCATGATGCTGGGAACTAAGACACGGCCCTGCAGGCCGCCCCCAGGCCCCTTTGAGAAACAGGCACTTTAGACGTAAAGCTGACGGGAGGTGGGAAGCTCCATGCTCCTGTAACTAATGCCCAAGGTCTGGAGCCAAGGTGACAAACATGACTCGGTCTGCCAGGGCCTCCCCCCATTCCAGCAGTGAGTCTGTGCCCGGGGACCCAAGACGGCTGGTCACCCTGCCTGGAGCAGAAGTGTCTGGCTGGCTTGAGATGGAGGTTAGGGGCACGGTTGAGGGGCATGATTACCCCTAACAGTTTATATGTAACCTCAACAGCCAGGACAGATGTCCCTGTTGCTTGTAAACTCAGGCAGTGTGAGGTCTGGAACTAGCAGGTGGGCCTAGTAGCACGGTTGGCCTCTGCATGCCCCTTCACCTTGCAAGCGGGTTAGGGGAAAGAGAGATGCCAGATCTGTCTCTCCCTCTCTTTTCCTTGTGGTGGTCCTGTACCGCTGAGCTACATCCCTGGCCCCCTTTTAAATTTCAAGACTCTTGCAAAGTTCCCCATCCTGGCCTTGAACTTGGAATCTTCCTTTCTCAGCCTTCCAGGAAGCTAGGATCCCAAGCTCTGTGCCCCTAGGCCCAGTTTGAGCCACTTTTTTTTTTTTAAATTGTCCCAGTGCCCTCCGATTGCCCAGCTCCGCCATCCCTGTAGCCGCACCCAGCTCCAGGAGCTCAACTCACCCAGCTACCGCGCCACACCCACTGGTGAAGCACCAGGAGTGAGCACCTCCTAGCTTGTATCTTAGCAGAGCGGCAGCATGAAGTACAGAGATGACCACTAATGGGGAGGTCACTCTCAGGCAGGGTCAGAGATGAGAGGTCCCCAGCCTCTTGGTTTATATCTCCAGCAGGATCCTGTAGGTACTGAATTAGAAGCTGCTCACTCCTCCCTATCCTAGTTGCTATCTCCTGGCTTCTCAAACTGTTAAACTGGGAGGCCTGCATTCCTCACAAAGACCTGCAAGGAGAGGAAATCTTCCCCTTTCTGAAAAAGCTGTGCTAACCTTGTAAATCCACCAGGCCCTTTTATCTTCACAGCACCTGTGCCACAAACCGCGGAGGCCCAGCACTCCCAGCCCCTGGCATTTTGCAACCCCAGCAGTCACAGCACCATTCGGTGGGAGGCGGGGCAAGGAACAAGAGGGCTCCGTCAGGGGCATGGCTGCAGGACTCGCCCACGCCTGTCAGGAGCAGAGGGTGGGAGGCTCAAAACCTGTCACCAAAGCAGCCCAGCAAGTGCAACCTGGTGTCTGAGGCTATTTTCTGCTTCCATAAGAGAAAAACCACAGGCTGGGTAATTTACAAATAATACAGGTTTATCTGGCTCAGGGTTCCAAAGGCTGCCAAGTCCAAGAGCATGGCGTCAGGGGTAGGAGACAGAAGGGCAAACGCTTGTGTGACAGAGACAGAAAGGGCCAAGTCATTCTTTTTACCAGGGGCCCACCCCACAGGATGTAACCCACTCCCTGCAAAAGCATCGTTAATGTATTCATGAGCGACACCTTCTAATCTAACCACCTCTTGGTGATTAAGAGGATACCCTTAGTTCTGCCCAGTGGCTATTCAGTCCAGCCTGGGTTTTAGAGGCAGCATCCAAACCACGGCACCAGGGCTTCGGGAGCAGACCAGCCCCAAAGGGGCTGTCTAGGGAGCAGCCTGAGGAGCCCTTCCCAGATATCCCCAACGCTCCCAGGGCGACATCACAGCTCCCTATTGCCCGTATGGCCACAAATCCAGCTAAGAGCTAATGCTTTCATTTGTCCAGGGACGTGAAAGAGACGCCTGCTTTAGAATACTGCATTTAGCAAGAAGTGGTCTCAGAGGGCCTTGGGCAAGTTGTAATTGTGTGAGAAGAGGTATTGTGTCAACACACTTGTACTAGTATTTCCATGTGCATCTGTTTGCTCCACAGCCCTCCCTCCATCGTTCTAAATGAATTCACGTTTGAAGACAGGGGATTTCTCCCTCCTTACAATGCCCAGTATAGCTCCTGTTCAGAGCCAGAAGGAAGCGAACTTGGGGAGTACTTGAAAATGCATAACAGGGTCCAGGAGACCCTGTTCCCATAGCATTCGGTTCACAAGAGGTGCTTGATAAATGCTTGTGGAATACAGAACAATATCAGAACCAAACAACTTTTTGCAGGCTGGTTTATGAACCCCAGTGCACAAAACCCAAGCAGCTGGCCTGTCTTCCTCTTGCTGCTTCTAGAGAGAAGGCTCAACTTTTAGGTCCTGCTCAGGTTTAATGGGAGGCCATAAAGCATAGTGATCAAGAGTATGGGCTCTGAGTGCAGACCGCTTACATTTTCTTTTTTTTTTTTTTTTTTTTTTTTTTTTTTTTTTTTTTTTTTTTTTTTTTTTTTTTTCCTTTGGTACCAGGAACTGAACTCAGGACCTTGCGCTTGTGAGGCAGGCGGCAGAACCATGGAGCTAAATTCCCAGCCCCAGACAGCCTACATTTAATCTGGCTCTTCCACATTTTACTATGTTACATTGGACATGCCACTTACTGTCTCTATGCCTCAGTTTACTCATTTATAAAATGAGGATGATCCCAGAACCTTTCTTATGGAGTTGTTCTGATGATTAAATGCTTAGCATAATGCTTGAGGTCACGCCTAGAGTGTGTAATTACTGTGTGTCGTCTATGTTATGATTATTACCCTAAAATTTGCTGAAATCCCAGCATGTTTAATGGCAGAGAGACCAGTGAAGAGGCCAGAACCTAACTTTTGAAAGTTTAAAATCGGTGCTTTATTAGCCTAGAGTGAGTTTTCCCAGTCTCCTCTTCCTTGCAATGAAGAGAATGTCTTAAAAGCCATGCAATGGCCACTGGTTATCCTCAAGCCAGAGAAGAGCATTTAAGAAACTATAAAGCCAGGTGTGGTGGCGCACGCCTGTAATCCCATTACTTGGGAGACAGAGGCAGTAGGATTGCTGCAAATTTGAGGTCAGCCTGGGCTACTTAGAGAGTTCAAGGTCAGCCTGAACTACATAGTGCAACCCTGTCTCAAAACACACACATACACACACACACACACACACCCCACACACAGCAACGGCAACAACAATAAAACTGCAGCATGAATAGTGACAAAGAAACTAGAGTTGAGCTGGACTCCCCACAATAAGTGTAATACTCAGTAAGTTATAATATGCCACAGCCTCCGTGGCTTCTAGGACCGGGTGTGTTCCTCTCAGGCAAAGACGGTAAGTGACCCACCCGCACAGAAACGTGCAGACAGCCGCAGGAAGGAGCTGCTAAGAGTGTAATCATATGTAAATGTTTGTCCTCTGATTCCTTTAAAGCAGGATGCAAAGTCAAATTTATGATCACAACTATGTACACAGATATACACAGAAAAGAAAGTCTAAAATGAAGGATGCCAGATGTTAGCAATGGCTTCTCTTAGCAGTTGGAACTCATTTAAGTGAATTATTTTTTCTTTTCAAATGCTTCATGTTTTCCATTTTCTCATTAATTAATAGCTGTGTCTTTTTTACAGTGCTGAACTAAGACTTTATATTTTTAAATTAACTAGAAAGACTACATAATAGCATGGGAAAGTGGATAGTGTTAAAGCAAAATCAAAATTGTATTCACATTATGGTTCTAACTACAGAAATGTGTAGACAAAAAAATAGAGGCTAGAGGTGTGTTTAGCAGTCAGTATAATGGAGAAGCATCACGATGAATTTTTAATCCCAATCACAATATAAAAATGTTGGTCATATGATTTACATAAGGTAATAAGTTTAAAGTCAGAGAGCAAAATAGGGGGAGTAGGTCTGAAGCCACCCCCTGTCCAAGCTTATCTACTGTCTCCAGCACTGGCCAGGGGCTGGGCTAAATTAAGAGAGCTCCCTTGGGCTCAGAGAAGCCTGCGTGTGAAGGTCATCTGGGAGAGGCTGAGTTCTCAGCCGCCTGTAGGGAAGCTTCTTTTATAACTAACCCAGTAACAAAGCCCAAAGACAGGCACAGTCTAATCAGAAACTTAATTAAGCCCCAGAGTGATGCCCCCTGAAATCGGGAGGTCTTAGCAATGAGTCGGGAGAATGCCGCTGAGCCTGAAGACTCGAGAGACCCCAAGGCAGCCAGTGACAAACGGCAGCGGGTGTCTGACATATCTCCTCCCTCGTGGTCCCCCCCAAAAGAGGACAGCAGCAGAAATAGTACCCTGCAGTGTCAACCAACACATCTCTCGGCCCCACCCACTCTCAGGAAACCAAGGAACCAGAAGAGATGCCTTTGGCTGATGGGTCCACTTGGCACTCACTTTCAGAACCGAGGGGAATCAGGAGGCTCCCTGAGCTGGCCCACCTCTCCTTTGGTTGTGCCATCTGGACTTGGTGCCAGAAGACGGCCCAATGCCCTCCCTTGACATTGTTTTTGATCCCCTTGGCCATGCAATTAGTAAGAAATGAAAAAGAACGTGCAGATCCAAGGCTCCGTGACTTCCACATTTAAGCGTTTCACAGCATTTACCAGTCCTGGAGCCCAGAATCCACAAGAGGACATGAAGAAACAGGGTCAGAGAACGCTCTGTCCATCCAAGTGCTCCAAGCCACTTCCAGGAGGGGCTTTGGGGTGCTAATCTCCCCTATCCTCACCCAAGGAAACCACTAGAGCCACCAGGCCCAACTTGAGTGATCTGGGAAGGCTACGACCCTTCTCTCCTGTCTCAACTGCCCCCCAACATGTAGTAGAAAGCTAAGTTATTTGTACCCATTTATTCCTGTGGCCCAGGCTCAGAGCATTCCAGGCAGGTGAGAGCCATTCCCAGAGGGAAACTGATGACAATGATGAATTCTTGGTCAAGCCTAAGTCCCTCCAGCTCTGGCCTCCACAGATGTAGAAATCAGCTTGCCCTTTCATCGTTAAGACTGAGAGGGTGTAGACACAGCAAAGCCATCTGGCCCAGAGAGCTCCTTACTATACCTACTCAAAAATCACCTGCCTCTAAGGCAGTGTACTGTATTGCACTTCCAAAGGGACATAATTAGGTCACTGGGCTGATGGCCCCAAGGAATGAGTTACTTCCCATGAGAGTGGGTTGTTACGAAGTAAGGAAGACAAGCCTCTACCTGGTTTCTGACTTCTGTATACCATGGAATCTCACCTTCATCTGCGTTCACCGATGTGATGCTGTCTGCCATGAGGCCCTCACCACAGGAGCTGAGCAGAAGCTGATGCCACCACACACCTGGACTTCCAGAACTGTGAGCTAAGAAAACCTCTTTTCTTTCTGAAATGTCCAGCCTTAGCTATTTTGTTATAGCAATAGAAAATGGGCTAATACACGGGCCATCCCCAAGTCCCCTGCTTTCTAGGGGGCCAAGACCCGTTGGGTATGGTGGGCTCCAGTAGAGGAGACCATGGGAGACATCAGATTCTGTAGCCCAAAGATTCAGGCTCCACCACACCCAAGGAGACTGGCCCAGTGGCAAAGAGCAGAAGCTAAAGCACCCAGGGGAAAAAGAGTTAAAAGCCCTCTTCCTAGACAGGGATGCTCATCCTCCTCAAATATCTAAAGCCCATTCTGCTTGGTGACAGCTTTCTCAATAAATCCAAGGCCCACAGTGATTTACCAAGAGCCTTGGTTATTGGCAACAACAATCTCACTTACCCGGAGCAGTGCTGAGAACAAGCCATAATTTAGAGCTGGATTTATATTGTTTGTTCTACAGCAACAAACTCAGCAAATCATAAATTCCCGCTGAGATGAGAAGTGGAAATTGACAATATTTATGGACTTAAATGGCAGAGGAGGGCTTGACCAAGCCTTTGATTTGTCACCGTAACTTCTCCCAGTGGCTCTGCCAAGGACACGGCTGCTGTCCCAGTCCAAGCAGCTGGGCTCCGGCCACAGCAGGGAGATGGGGAGTGGGAGCTGCCAAGAGGTGTGTCCAACTTGCTGTGGACGGTCTCTGAGGCCAGAGAAAGGCAGGCCCTGTGCCCGTGGGGACAGACAGCAGCAAGGCACATGGGGCTCCGCCCACGGCCGTGAGACCTGTTTGTAAAAACTCATCCATCTACCATCTGGGACACGAGGCTGCTCACGTAGCACTTTCTCAGCACACTTCCCTCTACGTACTGGACACACCACATATCACTAACGAAGCGAAAAGGACACAGGCGCACTGAGATTTCCACCTAATGTTGGAGAATGAAATGTGACACAGCAAAGCACACAGGAGGGGACAGGCTCTCGCTTTTCCTGATGTCTCCACTGTAGCTCCTTCCTTTGTTTTATTTTTAGTTCCCTTTTCCAATTCTCCATCCTCCCTCCACCATCACCAAGCCCTCGCCCCTTAGTCCTTGCCCTGCACTCCTTTCTCACCCTCTGAGAGGCTGGTATGGCCACGAAGAGGCTGGGCCAGGTCATCTCCACATTACCACCCCTCTTAACCAACCAGTGCCCAACATGGGAGGGACACGGAGAAGCCTCCAGCCAAGAGCCTCAGAGGCCCCAGGATGCCAATGTCTGTTCTGAGCAGCCTCCAAAGAAACATTTGGACCAAGAACCAACGTGGGCCATTCACCACAGTGTTGATTCCCAAACAATGCGGTGATTTGGGAGCCAGCTGCCTCCCAGAGCTCAGGGGGGCCACAGTGGGGTGCTCACCCAGGCTCTCTGTCATTGCATCCAGCACAGAGGTGGCAGCAGCGGCAATCCCCAAGTTCTGAGAGTTGAGGTTGTCTGCAACAGCGATGATGAGGGAGAGCAGCATGGGATGCACACTGTCCTTGAGGAGAGGGATCATCTTGGCAAGGGACTCCAAAGCCCACTGGTTCACTTTCTTGTTGGAATCCTGAAGCCTTGGGGTGAAAGCATCAAAGACCTATTAAGAGAACAAAAACCAAGAGCCCACCGTAAATCTGCCAGAAGGACAAGAGAACCAGAGACTCAGCATTTCCAAGGTGTGCTTGGGCCCTGGCCACATCCAGGTAGGCTTTTGGCATCACCAAGGCCAAATGGAGGCAAGGGTATCTGAGGCTCCTGCTCCCCTGAGAGTTCTGGCAAAACCAGCAACCTGGTTCAGTTCTCCAAATTGAAGTTGTGCCCTCCAGGGAGACACGTGAGAGGGTAGAGGACAGCAGCACTCACCTGGACCAGGTTGGCGATGATGAGCTCCGGCTTGGTCTTGCAGTGCTCCAGGAGCCGCCCCACACCTTCCATCCGAGACTGGTACTCTTTGGCCTCCAGCAGCCTCGTCAGCTCCCGCAGTTGCTCTGCTATTTCCGTGCCACCCCGCAAGGAGGAGCGCACAGCCAGCCGCGGGCCACTGGAGCCAAACCTAGAGGAAAGAGGGTCTGACCCCTGGGGAAGAGTCCCAGGAGATGAACACCACCTGCCCTGTGCGCCCTCTCGCTGGAAGGTGGGGCAGAGACAACTGTGTCACGTGTGGTGCAGTTCACACTTAGAGCTCCTCTACTGCTGCTGGGGGACACTGGCCTTGGGGAGCCTGGAAGTCTCTCTTCCCCCACCTTCTGCCTGATGCCTATATCCTGTGCCCGGCTGGCTAGGCTCTGTTCACTCCTCCAGCACCTGGGGAAATGTTAAGAAGCCCCATTCCCCGACACTGGATTGCACGCCCATCAGAGTCCCCATGGCCATTCCAGCCAGGACGAGAGCATCTCCACGTAGACCTCCTGTCTCCCACCCTGAGTTCAAAGCCAGGGCCACTGAGTTCATGCCCTACCCCAAGGTCCCACCTAACAAGGCCCACACCGTCCATCTGCCACTCGTTCCTATGTCTCACACTCTTGCCCACCAAGAGTTGTGCTGCACGCTGACCACGAGGTAAGAAACATGGTCCTTGCCTTAAGGAACTCAAGGACCAATGGGAGGCCGAGTTACAAAGAACAAGGAGCAGCCATCCACTCTGAGAACGTGGGGCACAGAGAGCCACAGAGCCATCTGGGAGAAGGTGACATGTGAGCCGATTCTTGTCGAATCAACAGGTTCCAAGTAAAGACTGGGCAGCACAAAGAAAGGTGCAGCAGGGAGAGAGGGTGCAGAGGGGCAGGAGCTGCTCTGGCCTGGCTGAGAGAGGATGAGGGGGAGAGTACAGGAAGTGACTACTGCAGGGGTGGGCTTCAGCTGGTGCCCTGCTAAGGAGCCAGACGTGATCATTCCAAGACACTACAGAAGGCTAAATTTTAAGCACAGGACTAACCATTGGAACTAACCAACTAACTGCTTGGTTTCTAGATGTTCCCAGCACCACCCTCCAGCACTTTTGCCAGATCTTCTGGTCTTCCTGTGTTCCAGCTCTGCCTCTGAACTAGTCGCAGGCTGGCCATGCTGGTGACTAACGGATCTACTGATCTAAGTGAAGACTGCAAGCCTGACCTGCAACATGTCTCACCTCTAATAATGGAATGGTCCCTTGGCCAAGTCTGCAGGGACCAACTCCACTGGCGGATGTCCTCAAGGCCAAGATGTGGGTGGAGGACACATCCTATAAATCCATCCATTCCTATTGCTGAACCAAGTAGGTCTAAGCCATCCCTAAATCCACAATCCACCCCAGATCTACCCATGGCCTTGGGGAAGCAAGATGCTTCTGCAGGTTAGACATGGAGCCCCAGAGCGACAAGAGCAGCCATACCCCTCTTCAGCAGGCAGCCTGTTCTCACATGCCACCAGACTCCTCGACACCTTGCGGCCTTTGGCAGATGGAAGTTCACGGTTATCTTCTAGTCCCTTGAAAAATACATGCATAATTTGAGCCAAAAGGAGCATCCCTCTAGGGGACTGCCCAACATTTCAGTAAAAGCCTGGACAGGAGGAATAACCCCTTTCCCCTGGGAGAGCTCCAGAGCCCTGGTGATGGCTGGGGCGGACCAAGATCCCCACTGAACAGATGAAAGTGTAGAGGCCCAGAGAGCTCAAGGAACTTAGGTAGTGAGGGTAGGACCAGGGAGGAGCACAGGGGACAGAATCATATCACCCTCCCCAGCAAGATTGGTGGAATCCAGACTCCACTCCAGTGACCCACACAAGGGCTGGCGGGCTCCACTCTGACCCACCCTGCAAGACTACAACTCACTGCTACCTGCTCACCTGCTGCTTGATGGCCGCCATGACTTTCCGCAGGTCATGAGATGGAAGGGGCTGCTTCAGAAACATGTCGAACTTAGCATTTTCCATCAGGGTAGTCACCATCTTCCGGCCATAAAACCTGCGTGGGAGAAGGAGCAAGATGGAGGAACAGCACAGAAGAGCATGATAAATTTTCTCTACAGCTTTACATAAGTCTCCTAACTTATGTTGCAAAGTTGTTAATATTTTTTGTAGTGACGAAAACAATTCCTCCATAGTTAAAAATTTCATTCATAAAAGATGAATACCATCCACAATGCCATTACCACAAAAAAATTACAATTAAAAGTTTCCAGCCGGGCGTGGTGGCGCATGCCTGTAATCCCAGCACTCGGGAGGCTGAGGCAGGAGGATCACTGTGAGTTCGAGACCCGCCTGGGCTCCATAGTGAGTTCCAGGTCAGTCTCAACTACATAGTGAGAC